CTCTTTATATATATATACACACACACACCCCCCCCCCTAATCAAATGAGAACTAATTAGTTTGTGGTAACCGTGAGGTCCAATATGAGCCAATCATTTTATGATATTAATTATATTACCTTAATTAATAGGTAAAGGGGGTTTTAGTAAAATGATTAATTGTAATTTAAATATTTTTCTTATTTAATAGTTATCAAATTCAGTTTCCTTAATTATCAAGAATTTGGTTCCTTAATTATCTCAACAAAATTGTATCACAATCGTGTATCACATTGTGGTTGTGTGTGGCCTAAAACTCAGACCACATCCGTATCAACCCATGTTCAAAACATTATCACAGTGATATCACAATGTGTATTACAATTGGTTTTATGTCTTACTGTTATAAATTCTTAAGTATCACAGTGTGTATCATATTTGTTTTGTATTTTACTGTTAGAAATTATTGGCCGGAGAGAGAGAGAGGGGGAGAGAGGAGAGAGACTTAAAAAAAACTCATTTACCCCTATATATTATCAGTAAATTTAATTTTTTTGAAAATTAATGAATAATTACCAAAGTTAATGAATAATTATCAAAATTAATATGTTTAATAATAACCATTGATTATTAATAATGTGTGGTTGAGATTGGATCTCACAGTTATCACAAACAATAGAGTTTTCCCTTGATTGGACCCCTCTATAGGGGCTTAATCAAATGAGAACTATTTGTTTGAGGTAACCGTGAGATCCAATCTCAAGTCAACCAATCATTTTAATATATTAATTATTCTTTTTAAAATTTATGTAAAAGGACATGTTAGTGAATTACTAAATTTAGATTAATTATTTATTTATTAATTCCATACGTCTCAAACTTCCAATTAATTTTGATTTTACATTCCTAAATTACCATATGAAACCACAATATTTTGGGTAGCACATGAAACCACAATCTTTTTTTACTACGATGTAATACAACATCTTGTGTTACCTAATACACTATTGGTATTGTAACACCTTGCCCCGCATCAGTAACTATTGGAATTCGTAGCCTCTTATGACTTATGAGTTCTTGGTTGTAGGCTACCAAAGAATTCTCACCATGGGTTTAGTGGAGGTTGTCTTGTATGGTTTGCTACCAAAGAATTCTTATCATGGGTTTAGTGGTTTGGGTAGTACATGAAACCACAATTTTTTTTACCACAATGTAACACATGTTCAACCAAAGCTTACAAATTGTTTTCCACCCCTTCTCATACAACTAACAGGATCTTTTGTGTTTTTTTTTGTTTTGATTTGATGAAATGTAATTTTTTAGAAGATTAACGGATTTCTAGGACGCTCAAAATAGTCAAAATAATTTTTTTTGACCCTTTTGCCCTTATTTACACACTCACGTTAAATATTGAAGAGCTATTTTTGTAATTTCAGTAATTAATTTTTCTTTTATTTTCAACCATTGATTATTAATTTGTGTAGTTGAGATTGGATCTCACAGTTACCACAAACAACTCAGTTCTTCCTTGAATGAGCCCCTATATATATATATATATATATATATATATATATACACACACACACACACATACATATATATATACACACATACATATAGAGGGTTGGGTTCATGTGAGACCAAGAGTTTTTCGTTAGACCCGTGAGACCAATTTATATTCATTGATCAACTTTGTAAGCTAACGATCTAATGGTCTAAAATTGCACGGTGACAATTTTGTAATTATTGAGAAATCTCATGACAATTTTGTGATTATGAATATTGAGATTGTAGATCTAATCCAAGGGTTGAGAATTGGTCTTACGGGTCCCACGAAAAAGCCTTGATCTCATATGATCCCAAGTCTATATATATATATATACACACACACACACATACATACATACATACATACATACATACATACATACATACATATATATATATATATACATACATATATATATATATATATACATGCATAAATTATATCAATTTTTACCTTCTGAAAGAAAAATGAAAATGATCAAAAAAGACTTCACTTAACGAATGGAAGTTATCTGATGTTAAAGAGGATTGGATCAAATCAACGCAAAAATGGCAAACCACGATGACAAAATTGAAATAAATAAACTATAGGGATAAAGACCAACAAGATGAACAAAACAAAACGGCTCAAATTGTGGTTTACTCTTACGATTTTAAGAGTACATACAATATTACGCATGTTCTAAACCGATTTTCCCTTGCTTTGAGGTTTTCACTTTAAAAATCTCGTCATCATATTATTTATATCCATTATTTATTTGTTGCATAAGATCCTAATGCCATGGTTCCATTGCATTACAAGGAGCAATGGAGACCCTTTATGAATAAGGGGAATCATAGGTCGGAAAAGTTTATTGGCAACAAGAAATCTGACCGACGGTCAGAATTTCTTCGAATATGTATTGAGTTCATCCTTAAAAGAAGTGTTCTGATAAATTGGGGACACACACTAGAATGTTAAGCGTTTATGCTTCCGTTTATTGTTTTAGATTAGCATTCCCCAATGAAATATAACTACAAAGTACCTTTCGAGATTTTGGGGACTCAATCCTACCAATCGTTACCCATTATTTTCGAATACACATGGGTGATCGTTGTTGGGTCTCTATGAGATCATCGAATAAAATATGTTTTCCAAAATTACTTGTAAAATACATTGTTATTCTATTTGATTCATATTTTTCCTTAATAAATGGATGATGTGGCTTCACATAATTGATAGGCATCAATGATACAGTGAATTTTTGGACAACAGTTTTTTATTGGCGACCATGCACCTAAGGCGCTAATAAAACACTTTGATACAATACCAGTTCTAATTACATACGTATGACGAAATACTACTTTTTCTACATTTGACTCAATAACCGACATAAAACATAAAACAACAAGACCTCAAAACTCACCCATCAACGAAGAGGCACAAACTTCTGCGACCTATGTATATCTTCCATTCATTAACGGGATCACAAACGCCAGATTCATGAATGGCAACTCAAATACATTTAGTTCTCAAAAATCAATTTTTCCATCAAGGGTTAAAATGTCGTTAGCACTCATTAAATCATACCACAAAAAAAGAAGAGAAACCCTATATCCCACACGGTATATCCCACACAGAGTTAAGAGTCTAGAGAGATAGAATATACTCGCACCTTACCTCTACCCCAAGCGATCAAGAGACTATTTCCATGTATACCCCCGACTTGGAAAACAAAAATTAACATGCGGCCGATAGCAGAGAAGTGTGTGCAAACAAGCGCAAAGATACTTGGAACTAGTGGAACAAGTAAAGCATACAACAATTAAGAATGAAAACACGTTAAACAACAAGTGCACATCAATCTAACTCGAAATCAATTTGTTACATGTAAACCTCCATGCCTATATACTTTGAGCATTGACACAATGGACACAGACTAACCTTACTTTCACATTCTTTACACAGACAAAGATGCTTACATGGCAACAAAAGCATGGAAGCTTGGTTGATTCTACATACCTTACAAGTCATCAATTCCCGCATTCCATTTTTGCCCTTGCACAGCAGGTGGAAGTCAATGGCACGCCCATTGCAGCACGAGGCCGTGTCATCCACCTCACTATCACCACATCCTTCTTTGCTATCTCTCCCCTGAGCATAAACTTGCTGAAGATTGAATTTTAGGGTGTTGATCATATTCTCGTTGTATTTGGCCCGTTGCTGCCAAGTGCCAGCCTCCATCGCTAGCTGTTCGACCTGCAATTCCAGTTCCATGTTTTTCTTGTTGATATTTTCCACTTGGGCTTCCTTTTCACGCAGTTTCTGCATGAACTTATCTTCAACACATGAGATTATCTGGAGCTGGTTTGCCTGTACCTTCTCAAGAACTGCTTGCCTGAGTCTGTCAGCCTTTAAAGAGTGAAAAAAGGGGGGAATAGATAGGTGTGTTAGAAGTTGTTTAAAAGTTTAAAATAAATTTACTAAAAGTTTGGTGTCAAGTAAACGATAATAAGAGAAAGATACGAGTACAACTAATGTCAAAAGGGGTACGAATTAGTAAGCAAGCAAATAGGGTTTTAGAGGGTAAATTGCACCATCCTCCACAAGTTTGAGGAATATTTAGATATACAACATATGAGCGTAATTAGCAACGGTAACACCCAATAACATCCCTCTTTGACCAGTTTTGCTTAAGTTGGGTCAAATGACTATTACACCCTACGTCTCACAAGCATTCAGGAACATAAACAAGATGAAAGGTTGATTATTATCCCATCGTCATCACCAAAAACGGCTCAATATTACTTGAAACGAGAGAAAAAGATAAGAAAAGAAAGCACGGAAAATGGTTCAAGTATAGTCATCTTCATCACCAGCAATAGTCCAACACTCATTGTAGCTGCAACCATGAAACAAAAAAA